TCTCTCTCTCTCTCTCTCTCTCTCTCTCTCTCTCTCTCTCTCTCTCTCTTTAATTGTATGTGCATTGGTGTTTGCTTGCACATACCTTCTTAGCACACAGATGTGTGTCTGTGTCAGGTCCCCTGTAACTGGAGTTACAGACAGTTGTGTGCTGCCATGTGGGTTCTGGGAACCAACCCCAGGTCCTCTAGAAGAGCACCCAGTGTTCTTATCCATTGAGCCATCTTTCCAGCCTCGTGACATATTATCTTTGTCTGTTCATATGACAAAGGCACCCATATATATCAGAAAGTATGAGTCTTTCAACCTTGCTTTTCCATATGATTGCTTTAGCTGTGGTAAATAGCAAGAATCTCCACATGAATTTTAAGATTTCCTTGTCAATGTTGACAAAAAAAATCTACCTAGGGATTGTATAGAGGTTACATGAAATATGTAGGTTACATTGAGGAATATTGTCAATAGTAAAATTTTTGTTCTGGGGACAGATGGGTATATTTTTAACCAAATTAGGTCTTGAATTCATATCTATTTTTACTAGGTTAAATATACATCCCTGAATAATAGCTCAGACACTGGCAGGCCTCCCACCTTCTCTCACTCTGCTGTCTGGTAAAATGGATTTAGATGGAAGGAAGTGGATAATATATAGGAACATGAATCAAAAGAATGTCAACTCCCCCCTACATTCTTGGCACTCCTTATTACATGTGACAGTCAGGGATGCTGGTTTTGTGGGGATTTCTGAGTATTTATCATGTAATATTCTGAGAGAAAGTTTCTTCAATGAAACAGAACATTTAAAAACGTATATACACAATACATATCATTCCTATTTACATATGCAGAGTATTATGGTATATACATATGTAACAGCATATGCAAGTTGTAGATAGAAACATGCTGATTTGTTTTATGGTGAGTTATTTCTGGAGAGGGAAAGTCATGGGGGTGAAGAAGGAAGAGACTAGGACTCTACATGCATTTTTTTTTTTATAAAAAAACCAATTTTCAGGTATTTCTGTCATAATTTTAAATATGTATGATAATAAACATAGCTATAGCTTCAGTGAGGTTATTTTTTGACAACCTCTGTCATAATAAGACTAAATAACACACTGAGCTTGAGATCAAGGGTGTTGCTAAATAGCTGGCTGTAGTTGAGGTCACAGTAGTGGAATGGGTATATTTAATGTTCTTTCAAGCTCTTAAAGATGATAGCAACAACTATGGACACTGAGAGGTGTTGTGTCTTCAGGAGCTTGTAAAGATCTGCTTCTATGAGGCCCTGTGATATACATATGGATTTTATTGTCTGATGGTTGACACTCAGATCGTGTCATTGATTCCAATAACAAGTCTCACGACTGAAACACAGGAAGATTTTTATCTCTGAGTCCTCTGGCCCTCAGTGTGATCACAAAAATATTCATCTTGGTGATAGATATTCAAACTGTTAACATTGTCTTTTTCGAGACTATATCGTTTTGGGAAAAGCAGAACATCATGGGGATTTGATGGAATAAAACCATCCAGTTCACCTAAAGCAAGAAACCAAGGACATATTGGTAAACTATGTATCTGATGATGGGTTGATTTACAAAATAATCCCATCCTTCTAGGGACTATACATTTATTCTCTATGCCAACAAACAGATACTCTTATTTTAAGCCTGGCCATGTTTGTTTTGGGCCACAGAGATGACTAAGCTGTTAAGAGCCACTGATGCCCTCTCAGAGGATCAGAGTTTGTCTTCCAGCATCCATATCAGGCTGCTTACAACTCCCTGTAACTCTAGCTCCACGAGCTCCCCCACCCTCTTCTGCCACTCTCACCCCACCTTGCGACTACAGACACAGACACATATGTGATCATAAGAAAGACCAGTCATGGTTTGGATATTGCCTTTGCTTATGCCAGGTCCCTTCCAGCTTTAGGATCATCAGGTTTGGAGTTCATGAAATCCATTCAGGCCGCCAGGATGCTCCATTTGAAAGGAACTCTCACAAAAGGCTCCGCGTTTTACAAATTGAAATTGCCAGCGTTATTTACTAGCTGTTTGAACCTGGTGTATAAAGAAAGTAGCCAAACTATGTTGATGGGCCAGAATCCAGGAATGGTGAGGATCATATTCTATGCTGTGTGGAGGAGAAATAAAAAGGGAGAGGCTGTACCGAGACAGAGAAAAAGCAATTAGTGATACCTGATGGCGCTCAGTCTCTTGCTTCTAGTTGTTTCTGAGATTAATATAAATCAACCCTTCTGGGCCTAGGTAGCTCCACATTTTCTGGAATGTGGTTAGTGACATTTTGATCTAATTCCTCTAAGCTGGTTTTGACTAGTTGGAACCAAGCAAAGACTAAATGACTAAATGAGCAATGTTTTAAGCTGCAGCTTTTAAATAGGATAACTTGATAGATTTAGAGTCTCTATTCTTGAGTTTTTAGCAGGCATCCTACCTAAGCTGGCATTCTGAACCAGACAGACAAAAATTCGACTTCACAGTAAATTCAAAATACAGCTGCAATGGACTTCCCATGGAACCTAATAGTTTCTGAAAGCATTTGAAAAAATAAAGTAAAACCTAGACGTTTAGTAGAAATACTCTTTATAATCACTTGTGTGTATCAGATTCTCATAATGACATGGGGTATGTTGTACGAGTTATAAATGTGTAACATTGCCGGTGACTAAAATTCAGCTGTGTCCTAGCATTTTCAATGGGTCACGAGAAACGCTATGATATAGTTTATCAGTGATTTTATTGATGCCGAACATGAAACAGAACTTATTACTTTACTATGAATGTATTTGAAGCCACCCATGCCTTTTTGTTTATTTATTTTCTATTTGTCAGTATTCTGATTTGGCAGTTTCTCGACTCCAGAATTATGACAGAGATCTCTATATCTTAAAAATTATGCACTCTTAGTTATTCTGTTATAGAAGTAAAAATCAAGACAATTACATATACAATATAACCTCAGGCATTTGAAGAGGTAGTTGTAGATTGTGTGTTTGCTCTCACTCCGAGCTTCAGTGTCCCACGGTCACCGTTTCCTTTCCCCTTTGAGTGCAAAGGGGAAGTCGTTTTTTTGTTTTTTTTTTCTGTCATTTACTTTTTAAAGCTACATGTTTTCCTACTTCTTTTCCTTTTAAGATCCAGATCTTTAAATCATTTGGAAACAGGAAATGTCTCACTTCCTATGGGAATCCATTTCTCTCGGGGTGCAAAAGCGTTGGCTCATCACTTCTCTGTCTTTAAGACAGACAACTCCACAAACCAGGGAAAGGCAACTTGAGGAGCCAAAGAGAGGGAGAGGCTGGGGTGAAAGACGAGTCTATTGTGTGCAGCTACTGTATGCTTATCTCCCAGAAAACCTGGTTCGGAAATGAGTTCTCAAACAATAGCACAAGAGACAAGGAAGGATTTGTGAAAACGCTTCCTTCTGAAGGACGGACTAAAACAGGAGGAAAGAGGAAGACCAAGTTAAGAGTTGCCTTAAGAATGTGAACAACATCAACAACAGCAAAAAGCTGGAAAGTAAAATGAGAGTTCTAAGAAAGCAAATTGCTGAATGTCAGGGAAAGTGCAACCTGTTTAAACCCAAGCCAGTTTAAAAAAAATATTAATATAATAAGTATAGTAAGGAGGTATTTTATTATTTTAGTATATATACACACATATACATATATACATATATACATATATACATATATACATATATACATACACACACACACACACACACACACACACACACACATATATATATATATATATATAAATCTTTTTTTACAGTCCAGTTGTTATCCCCCTCCAGGTCTGCCCTCCAATAGTTCCTCATCCCATTCCTCCTCTGCCCCCGCTCCATCTTTAAGAGAATACCCTTCCAGACCTCCCCACTTCCTGGGGCCTGAATTCCCTCAAGGGTTATGTGCATCTTCTCTCACTGGGGCCAGACTAGAGGCAATCCTCTGCTGTCTATGTGTCGGAGGCCTCGTTCCAGCTAGTGTATGCTGCCTGGCCAAACCAGTCTTTTTATTCATTAATTTCAAGTTGCATTTAAAGCATCAAGCCAGAATTCTGTCATATCCTCCCCACCAGTATTTAAATTTAGATTCCACATATGAGAGATTGTGCCAACTCATATTAACCTGTGTTTACACATCTCTCAACCATTTCCCCCTTCACCTTGTATTTTCAAGGCTAAAAGATGACCTCCTGTTGAATACTATTAAATGTTCAGACGTATTGTAACCGTAAATGCGTCAAGTACATATTTTAAAGGTGAGCTTTAGAATGTGTTGACAGCAGCATGTGAGAATGTATTAAATGTGGTGTATTAAATTTAATCAGAAGTTTATGAGATTCCTGCTAGCCTACAGATGCATCCACACTGATTACTTATTAGGCATGTTTGTGTTCTGTATTTCAGAAATGACTTACAAAATGAAGAAAGAACATGCCTTTTGGGCAACTGTGTGTCTGTTGCTTGGTGTTGTTCCTGAGCTTCTTCATGCTCAGTCTGAGGAAGCTGATGATACAGGTAAAATATTGCAAAGATTGATTTGTTTTAGCTTGTCAAAACTCTCAACTTAGTATAAAATTCATTGAGCCAGAATTTTATTTTTAAAATTTTTGTTTTATTATTTTATGTACATGTGTGTTTTGCCTGCATCCATGACTGTGAACCATGAATATGCAGTGTCCCCAGAAGACAGAAGACAGCACTCAGTCTCTTGAAACTGGAGCTATAGCCTGTTACAACCCAGTATTTGATAAAGGACACAATTTTAATATTCAAAATTAAAAATTTTTGTGCTGGGTTCTCTGGAAGAGCAGCAAGTGCTCTTAACTGCTGTATTGAGTATGTTAGTTTTTAGATTATCCAAAATCAAGTCACTTCAGCAAGAGAGACATCTTATGTATCCAGTAAGGCTCAGAACTAGCTCTGAAATATTGCAAGAAGTGAAGATCTGAAGGAGATTCTTGCTAACATGATGTTATCTTTGAGCTAGGAGAAATAAAGAAAAGGGAAAGAACTATAACCTGAGCACCAGCCACCCTCTTCTTCTTACCAATATTTTCAGAATAACAGTGTCTGAGTTGAGACTAAAGTAGAGGTCTGGCTGAGCAAGACATCAAAGGGACTGATGTGGGTGCGAATTCCAATTTCCTGAAGTGTGAGATAAGAATATTAATAATGAAAAAAAGTATGTAGATTTATATATTTTCCCCAAAGTAACACTTTGTCTAAAACTGTTGATAGAACTCAAGTTATTGGTAATGGGAAATATTAACAACTTGACAGCCTCAAATTATATTGTAGTTCTGACATTTTTTTTTTAATATTTATTTATTTATTTTATTGATGAGTACATTGTAGCTGTCTTCAGACACACCAGAAGAGGGCATCCAATCTCATTACGGATGGTTGTGAGCCACCATGTGGTTGCTGGGATTTGAACTCAGGACCTCTGGAAGAGCAGTCTGTGTTCTTAACCGCTGAGCCATCTCTCCAGCCCCCGTAGTTCTGACATTTTTTAGAGTCTCATACATACATTCTCATCTTTAGTGGGTTTGTCCAGTGTATTCCCAGTAGCAAAGGATGGGTAAATCCATCCTCTGAGCCTGACACGGTAGTGGATGGAAGGGAGGGAATAATGGCGGCCGAGAGGAGAGTCTTAAATTCTCACAGCTTCATGGAGGGTTCTCAACTCCATGGTCCAGGTTGATCTTACACTCACAATCTTTTGCTTTAGCCTCAAAGGGCTAGGATCAGAGACTGGAGTCCTACAGCTAGCTATGGCTTGATTTAGTATTGAAGATTTGACTGGGGTCCTACAGCTAGCTATGGCTTGATTTAGTATTGTAGATTTGAAGTTCTTTTGATCAATTAGTTGCACAGTCTTATCTAGGCTTGTTTTATTTCTGTTTAATTACCTCTGTGTACCCAGAGGCACACATCATATGGACCCTCAGAGAGTCAGTTACCTGTTGGCCCTAGATTCACAAACATTCTCCAGGCAAGTGGTGTTCTAACAGTCAGGCATCCCACGACTTTGAGAGTTCCATATTTTACTGAGCTTTTTATTTGACATCCCAAGACACAGGGAAGGAAACCAGATTGTTTCCCTTAGACTAGGAGACACAAAATATAAACATCCAATTACAAATATTTAAATATCAATTATAATTCTATTTTCTGATTACATCAGATCAGATTCTTGTTATATTATTCTGCAAATTTTCTAGTTTCCTGGGTACAAAGGGATATTCCTTATTTTTTTAAAGCATTATCCTCAACTCTTCCAAGTGTAAGAAAAATTATCCTTATTCCTTCCCTGAGGTATTCTGCTGTTCACTCTTTAGTAAACTCCTCAATAAATGATTATATTATTGTAATTATTATAAATTAGTGATTGCAAGCTTCATGAAAGGGGTCTGTTACCTGTTATATTGTTGTATCTTCAATAACAACCCAGTACTTGATAGATATGTATTCAGGACACAATTTTAATACTTAAAAAGGTAATCCCAATAAATGAAAACCAAGATAGGCATACACCTTTCCTAGAGTGGATGGCTGTCTATGTCAGAAATTAGCCTGAGCTCTCTTTGTTGTCAGGAACATCCTGCTTAGGTGAGAGTAGTAACAAGCTCAGTGCATAGAATATAATGATATAAAACGATGATAACTACATTAATATGGAAATCCTAAAGAATAAACTAATAACGAAGTAAAAAGTTGACAGTTTTTTTCTTTAAGCAGTTGTTATGAATGTGGCACCATATTTTCATAAAAATGATTTCTAACTTTATAAAGCAAATTTTAGAATGCTATTAAGTAGAAATTACATTATTAAATTGAATTATCTAATCCAAATACCGTCTTGGGAATCTCGATCATACAGGTTTGTGAGAACCTTCTCTTTACTATTGTGGATTATACCTGGTATAATGGCATTCGAGGGTCAGTCCAATCATTTGCTGGTATAAGTCTGAGCAACTTGATCACATCTGCATCCCAAAGAACAGCTGCAAAAGCAATGAGCTGCTTTTGCTTTTTGTTTTTTTTTTTTTTTTTTGAGACAGGGTTTCTCTGTGTAGCCCTGGCTGTCCTGGAACTCGCTCTGTAGACCAGGCTGGCCTCAGAGATCTGCCTGCCTCTGACTCCTGAGTGCTTGGATTAAAGGTACCTGGCATCACTACTGAGTGATCATTAGATGATTTTAAAACAAAGTTCCATGAGATTGTAATTACTCAGAAGAAAATTTGCCCGTTATTATTGTACTACTTCAACAGCTTTGAAGAAACAAAACAACTCTTTTGTAGTACACTCTCCCCCTCTTGTGGCAAAATTATTAAATATCAGCAGGTTGAACTTGGGTTCTGTGTCTTCCTGAACACACACATACACACACAGACATACATACACACACAGACATACACACACACACACACACACACACACACACACAATTTCAGTAAGCATATGATTTATTTTTCATAAATCAGCCAGAGAGCAGAAAGACAAAGTCTGTGCTCAGCTTTCCTTCCAGTATACTGTGTAGCTCCCAGCCCAGAGCAGACAACTACAGTGGACAGGTCTTCCCAGTCAATGGAACCTAATCAGCGTTTCCCCACCCATACCCCAGGCCTGCTCAGACGCCATCTCTCAGGTGACTCTTCATTCAGTCAACTTGACGACTGACATCAGCCACCACAGATGTCTAACTGTGATTTTCCTAGTCCTATAAATGATTGGGGCTAAGGAGACAGTAATGAACTTGTCTTTTAAGATCAGAATCTGAGTTTTATTCCAGAACATATGTAAAAAAAAAAAAAAAAACTGAACCTTGATGGCGCATGTTTGTAAGTCCAGTAGTGGGACACCAGAGGAAGGCAGATTCCTGGGGCCGGGGTGTCCCCAGAACAAGCCAGCCTGCCTAGCCTAACTTTGGAGTTCCAAGGTAATGATTGATAGATAGTAACTGAAGAGAGACAGTCAGGGGTGTGTGAACCCCTCTACTTACGCATAGCTGCAAGCATGTACGCAAACAAGCAAATAGTAAAAAAGGAAGACATAAATGGAAACATTCCAATTTCTTTGTTAGAATCTTAACTTTATTCAAATGTGGCTAGAAGATATTAATTTAATATTTAACTATAATAATAAATTGCAAGTGGAAGAAGACAGTTGAAAGTAGCCTAGATAAAATATACACATATTTTTCAAAAATTCACATTTTAAAATTTTAGGGAATTAAAAAAATGAATTTATTACTAGATTATCATCTATCTACAATTTATACTTTGTTTTAAAATAATTTTTATATGAGAACATTGAAGTGATGTCCATTCATGTTTTAGTATTTAAAATAATTTTATGGTGAATGAACCAACCAATGTTTTACAATTGTGCAGATAGCGTGTAACTTAACGGAGCATTGCTGCCCTCTAGAGGACAAATTAGTTTATGCCATTTAAAGCTCCAAGTGCCTTCTTTACAGATCATATATAAATTATCAAATACGTGGAACATAATATGCTCGCTCACTCAGGTCGTTACTTCCGCTGAACTCATAATCACATGCTTTTCAGTTTTATTTTTTCTTATTTAAAAATTGATGATGAAAGGTGTATATTTGACAAAACAACAGCAAGGACATTATCATACTGTTGGGAGAGAGCTACACAGGTGATGTTTTAAAATTTACCTTGTAGATTCTGAGCTACGGCCAATGAAACCGCTGCATACATTTTGTGCAATGAGGGCGGAAGATGGTCCATGCAAAGCAATGATAAGAAGTTATTTTTTCAATATGTATACTCATCAATGTGAGGAATTTATATATGGTGGTTGTGAAGGAAACGAGAACCGATTTGATACCCTGGAAGAGTGTAAGGAAACATGCATACCAGGTAAGTTTCTGGGAAGCCTGCGACACAGGAGCCGGTATGGTTATGAGGTCTAAGTGCAGAGTCAGTAATTTTAGAAGAACATTGTGATTTCCCAAGAAAGCCTGTTGTTTACATTTCTAGGTTTCAAGCCCACTGTTGTTTCTTGATTTCTTCCTCTCAGTTATCATAAAATCATGAAGCTTCATTTATTATCTTCTCTGTAGTGAGATGGAAAGAAGCCCATAAATCCACCGAAGAGTTTCGTAGGTACAGTGAAATTAATGCAGCGTACCTACCTGGGAGCTGGGTGGGCAGGAAACAATTGTTTTTCCTATAGACTTCGCAGCACTTTTTTTTTTTTTTTGATTTTTCGAGACAGGATTTCTCTGTATAGCCCGGGCTGTCCTGGAACTCACTCTGTAGACCAGGCTGGCCTCGAACTCAGAAATCCACCTGCCTCTGCCTCCCAAGTGCTGGGATTAAAGGCGTGCGCCACCACCGCCCGGCCTTTTTTTTTTATTTTTTATTTTTTTATTTATTTTATTTTTTGGCATCACTTTTATAAACAGCATGCTCTTCCAACACTTTTCTCTGAAGATAGTGAATCAGAGAACTGACCGTTAGGCTCCAAAGACAAATGTCTTAACCTATATAAATTTCTATTATTTGAGTAAGCTTAGTGCTTGTAAGACTTACCTAAAAATGAGTTATTTATATTGGAATTTTGTGATACTACAAAAAAACACCAAAATTTTAGCCCTTCTGTGTAAACTTTACCTGGTATAGCTTTGGTGTTGAATTCATGGCTGAAAGACTATAAAGCATATAATGTGTTATTAAACTTTATTGGTATTTTTACTTTTAGTCACATCATAATTTTATAATATTTTAACAATGATTACCAATCTTATAATTTGTAATTCTACCTGATGTCAATGCACAGAAGAGGAGTTACAGGCAATGCAATATTATGCATTCCAAGAGACGCATGGAAAAGTTTTAAAAGGTTTCAACAAAAATATTAAGATATATATTTGAAGGAATAGATATATCTAGCCTCACTTAATACAATACAGTGAATTGAAATGTGATACAACATCCTGTTACTATGTATAATTCTACATTTTTATATATCAGTTAAAATAAGTTTAAAAAAAGGAAGCGGGACCTGGAGATTCAGTTCAGTGGTAGACTTTTTGCGTAGCATTTATAAGGCTCTGTATTTGATATACACTAACACAACAAATAATAACAATACTAAAATAAAAAACCAAAAATGACTGGCTATAATAATCTCTCTATAAAACTTGATTCATTAAGACATGCTGCATGAGGATAATGTTAACGGGATTATGTAATTGTTCTAGTTGAAGATCAAGTTCATAATATTACATTGTCAATGATGGCCACTAATTCACATACTTCCTTTTGCAGGTTATAAAAAGAAAACTATAAAGACAGCATCTGGAGCAGGTAAACACTCACTTACATGTAAATTAGTGGCATTTATCTAAGATGGTTCTTATATACCTCTGTTGGGGGTTGGCTTTAAATCTACGTGGCATCAGAGGTAATGTTTTCTTAACTGGATACATTGAAAACTTAGACATCACAGACACTGTTCATTGGGAAGGCTCCATGGGCCATGAACATTGCATCACAGTCTCTAGAGCATCAGTTCTCAATCTGTGTGTGGGTCATGACCCCTACAGAGAGATCAAATGACCCTTTCACAGGAGCTGCATATCAGATATCAAACACCAGATATTTACATTACAATTCATAACAGTAGCAAAGTTATAGTTATGAAGTAGCAATGAAATAATTTACGGTTGGAGGTCTCCACAGTATGAGGAACTGTATTAAAGGGTCACAGCATTAGGAAGATGAGAACCACTGCCCTAGAGCCACATGGACTCCTTTAAGAACATGCAGATGATGATTTAGTCCTTGATTGTGTCATTCTTCATTTGCTAAGCCATTGTTAATCTCAGCACTGTGTAACTTTAGTAAATGTCATCGGAAAGATGTATGCTCTTGAGTTGCTAACAGCTCTGTATGCAGAAGTGAGTATGGATAAGTCAACAATAATTGCCTCCATCCTTATTTAGTGTGCACACATTCTTTTGAATAAAGAATTATCTTTGCTAGAGCTAACTCTTTCAAAGGACTTATTATAATAATAGTATCATTGTGTTAAGAAAACCAAGCTCCATTTTCTTTTTTTCTGCCTGTTTTCAGTTTTGTGTTTATAGTCCAGTCTTGCAGTACTGGCTTCATTGGCAGAGTTCAAGGATGTGCCAAATCACCAGGTTCAACTTGCTTTAAATAGAGGCCTAGAAATAGATTTAGTCCAGTTACCACTCATGATATTTGAACCGAATAGAAAAATATCCAAAAGATCAAGCTGTTTAACTCAAAGTCCTGAAAATCCTGAAAAAAAATCAAGTCATTTAAAAGAAGTGAAGATGCAGAATCTAGGTACACTTGAATTTTACACGTTTTAACCCACTCCTCTGGAAGCAGTTGAAACTATCTTTGACTAATTGGAAATCTTCAGACCTAACTTAACAGAATTCAATTTAAAAATGCCTAAAATAGCCGGGTGGTGGTGCCATTAAGCCTTTAATCCCAGCACTTGGGAGACAGAGGTGGAGTTCGAGCCAGCCTGTTTTTGTTTTTTAACAAAATCTCAGTCGATCTTACCAATGAAGGCTTGGGAGCCAGATGTCGGGTGAAAGCCTGCTAGGTCAGAGAGGCAGAGAAAGCACCCAGCTGAGCTTCCTCCTCAGCAGATGTTCCAGAAGGAATGCCCTTTTCTCTCACGGAAAAAAATCTCCCTCAAACTGAATGTCCCGCCCTTCTATCTACTTCCGTTGTTTCACTCTATCCATCCTCCCGACTCCCACTTACTCTCTATGTTTTTTTCAATACTGTCTTTACTTCCTGACGACTGGTTGCTTGCTCTGCCTCTTAATGTATGGTTGACTTTATTTAATCCTGTTTACCATATTCAAGCATAGCAGGAAGAAGGGATTGCCCACCCAGGCTGTCCCCACCCCAGCCTGCTCCGGCAAGATGGTGGCATGGATGTCTTCACTAGTCCAGGGCTCCTAACGGAGATTTCAGCCTGATCAGCTAGAGGTGGGCCAAACCACTTGACCAATTTACTCTTTTTCTTGGGACCTTTTCTGTTGACGATTGCGCCTTTTCTTCAGATGTTTCACTTGTCCCGTGCTCTCCAGCTTTCTTAGTTGGATGCTTTTATTCTCCTGGAAAGATAAAAACAAAACTCTACCCCAGCCCTAACTCTGGGGGTTTCTTTTTTTGGCCCATTATATCCTTCCCAGGGCAAAGTGTTTTTGGTAACAGAAAAAGTATTATCTTTCAATTGGAATTAAAAAAAATTCTTTTGAAAATTTGAAACTAAATATACCTTAATATTTGTGGATAAATATACCTGTATTTCCCCCTCTCTTTTATATATACATTCAAGGTTTAAGTGCATTTATTTTTATATCACAAAGGACATTCACTTTGAATTTCAGCCTGCCTTTCACAATCAACTTTTAAATTTAAATCACTATAATTCTTGTGTATCTGCCTTTGCCTCACAAATTTTGGGATTAAAGGTGTGAGCCGCCCAGATTCTGGGGTTAAAGTGGTGAACCACCACCTGGCTATGGATTCCTTATAATAGGTATTCTCATAGGGTTGTTCTGGTTTAATTTGGTTCTCCAGTTTCCCTTAGATTTTAGTGTTAGGGGTAAACTTTCAAGTTTTTCAAATGTGTAATCTACCATTTTTGTTGATTTAGTTTGAATTTGTTCCCTGGCAAGTTTTAATATTCTAGTCTTAACTAAACATGATGCCAATTTGTCCACTCTTTCATTATTTTCAGATGTTTTATCCGTCTTGCCTGTATGTGCTGCATAAAGTTTGATGTCTTTGCTAAGGTTTGCTAGGTTTTGCCATTTCCATTCATGCCTCCCTCTTTGTCATTATCTGCCAGTCATTGGTTTTCCATTTTGATGACCATATAGCTGGACCATTGCACATGCACCATGAATTGGAGAAGGCAGAGATTTCCCTTTTGCTTTCCTAGTTGTTTGTCTCAGCGAATGGTGCTGCACTGACTTTGTCGTTTCTGGCCGTTCTATCCCCCAGTCTATAGGCTGCCACTTGTCATTAGTTTTGGTTCCAAAAGTGTTTGACGAGCCATCAGTAAGCTGTGTGTTAGCCAAATGCTGTGACCATCCCGTCAGTACCCACAGTTCAGTAGGTGCCTCTTTTGGGGTAGAGGGTGAGTCATTTAGGCAACTGAGCTTTTTCCTCAGTGTGTGAGAAGTCACAGACGCCTTTGCTACCACATCCTGGTCATGAAGGCATTCATGTAGGTACCAGCTCCACTGTACTACCTTTCCTTCCATGGCTAAGCCTGTACAGGACTCTGCCTTTGAACAGATCCAATCTAGAGCTGTCCAGTCATTGTAAGGGGCGCCCTTGTGATCATATGGTAGTTGGCAATGACTGAGTATAAGGTTTCCATGCCTCACAAAATGTCCAGATTTGCTTCTCAAAGAGAGGATATTTAACTCTCTCTATATGGAAAGTATTTGCAATAGAACCTAACAGGTAAATGTTAGTGGAGAGTTTATGAAGAGTCTCCAGTTGCCAGTTCATCAGTAAGTATGATATCTATATCAGGGTGTTGTCTGGTTCACTGTTGGTCAGGGTTGCGTGCATGGAGATGAGTTTACCAGCAGCCACACAAACTACTCTTTGTTTCTGCTCCCATTGGACACTGGATTCCTTTCTAGTAACTCTGTAGACGGGTTTTTTTTTTTTTAAATAATAATCTATACATAGATGTGATTTCTTTAGTGTGCAAACATACCAATTCGGAGCTGTATCTGAGTCTTGCCCTTGGGTGATAGGATTAAAAGCTTGTGCCACCACCTTGTTCACTGTAACTCTATAGCTTAGAAAACAACTGTTTTATAGAGATCCACTGGGATAAAATATTTTATCTTAGCCCCAAATCACTCCAACCTTTCCTTAGAGATTCAGAAAATAAGTTGGAACTGTAGTAACCCTTTGAATTTACTTAAAACATTTTCAATCTCTTAACCGTATTTTATTAAAAACACAAACAGCAAAAATATACTTTTTATTTAAGAAGAAAACTCAAAAGCTATTGTCTAAGATGGCGTGGGCCATGTGGAAATCTACAGTTTTCATTTTCTGCCAATAAGGCAGGACAATCCCTCAGAAAAACAGATTAGTTTTACACAATTTCCTGATATGTCAGCATGCAGAGAAATTGACATTATAACTTCTGTGATATCAACTTTTATTTAATTTTTTGTTTTTTTTTAAAGACAGTTTTTTCTGTAACAGCTGTCTTTGTAGATCAAGCTGGCCTCGAACTCACAGATATCGGCTTGTTTCTGTCTCCCCAGTGCTGGGATTAAAGGCATGAGCTACCACACCATTGCATCAACATTCTTTCTCAATTATAACGGAGTACCATTTACCAAAAATGTGTACACCAGTCTAAAAGAATGAAACTGTAATGAATGTGGAGAATTAGCTTGTTTGTAATCCTGTTTTATTTTTTATTTTAATAACTATTAACCTAAGACCTAAGAATTATTAACATCTGTGCATTCTCAGCTTTCTTGTAAAATACATTCTTATAGTCTGATAATCAGGTAAAAAAAGCTTCCATATAGAATTTATTAATCGTGGTCATTAGCATAAATTATGATATTTTTGCTTTTAATATGCAATATGCTTTAACTTTTTATTTATATATTTTGTATATTTTAAAGATTATTTAAATTTTCATAAAAACTACATACTGAAACTAATTCAAATGACAATGGAATGTATTTGTTTTTTCCCTTAAAATATTAAAATTTACAAAACTTTTTCTGTCAAATATCCCATAACATATGTGACATTTCCCAAATGTCATAAAGATACTCATGTTAAAGGACAAGAATATGATAGGAAATGATTACACAATATTAATTATCAGAGAAATACAAATTCCAACTTAAACTCCTGTACTAATGGTTGTTACCAAGAGAGAAGAGCACTGATAAATCATAGATTGTTATTATAAATTAATAATTAATAAAGTTTTATAAATTATAAATTTACATAGCAATCAGGGAGAACAATATGATGCTTTTCATCAGGGTTTTAAATTAAAAATAGAACCTCCGTTTAGAGTAGCAATCAACGCCATCACTCGGTAGGTACAAAGCGAAGGGAAATCAGCAGACTGTACATCCTGGCCATTGAAGTATCATTTTACAATAGCCAAGAAATGAATTAACTGAAGCTCCAATCCACAGATAAATTAATAAAGAAAACATTCCACACAATGTAAAACATATTTAGCTATGGAAAAGAAGGGAATCCTGTTATTTACAACAACATGGCTGGATTTGGTGAACATCAAGCTGAGTGCAGTATACAGCATGGTCTCAGCCATGAAATCTTAAGAAGGCGATGTAACTTAAGTATAAAGTGGCATTGTCTTTAACTGATGGTGTGGTAGAGAGATGATTGAGGAGACAGGGTCAGTGGGTAGGAGGATCAAAGTTCTATCTGTCATTGAGCATGAAGATTACAGTCATGTGACATTAGCATGTCGTGTATTTAACGCCTGTGAAAGCTGAGAGAATGGATGCTACTTGTATTCTCAGCCTAAAATGTTACAGTGATGCGAGGTGCTCTATTAATTGTTCAGATTTAACCTTTCACTAATGTATATGCATGAAGCCATCATTTTGAAGACAATAAGTTCACTTAAATTTGAAAAAGGAAAAACATAAGAATTGCACTGACATTCACTTTAAGAGTCAATAAGAAACAAAGTTAACTTTCAATTTGCTTTTGAGAAGCTATAGAAAATAGATTTTTTAAAAAGACTTATTTATTTATTTATCTATTTATTTATTTAACGTGTATGAGTAAACTGTTGCTGTCTTCAGACACACCAGAAGAGGGCATTGGATCCCATTACAGATGGTTGTGAGGCACCATGTGGTTGCTGGGAATTGAACTCAGGACCTCTGGAAGAGCAGTCTATGCTCTTAACCACTGAGCCATCTCTTTAGCCCCCAAAATAGATTTTTATTTTGTACTAAAATGGTATTTTAGTAAAAACTTTTAGTTGGGGATTTATCTTCAGACCTGCAACTATTGTGGTTATCACTAATCTTGTTGAGTACATACTCTTGTTTGATTTCTTTTATTTGTTGAGATTATAATATAATTACACCTTTTCTCTTTTCCTTTCCTCCTTCCAAACCCTCTCATATATTCTTACTTGGTCTCCAAATTCATGGCTCTTTTTTTCCATTACTTGCTGATATACACAGTTATTAGTCATGTTGCTGAGACTTTATCACTGTAGCTTCTGACTTTTCTATGAGATATAATCTCATAGCAAACTCTTACAATCTTACGAATACATACATACACACACACAAACACACATATGTGTTCCTAAATATGTAATATATGCTCTAAATACATAATATATATTCCTAAATACATAAGTATAATCTGATCAATTTGTATAATGTAACACACACACACACACACACACACACACACACACACACACACAAACCACGTGCGTATGTTTTCAGGGCTGACCATGAGGCACTGGATAATTAATTGGTGTACTCCTCCCTAGAGACTTTTTCTCCCACTCTCAGTTTTCCTCAGTTGCCTGTAGTTCTTTATGTAGTGATGAGGACTCGGGCCCCTCCCTGAGTCCACGTTTAGCATGTCTGTTGTCATTGTCCTTGTTCAGATCATGTTTAGGCAGTCATGTTGGTGTGACTTTGTCAGAGTAGTTTCTAGCTTTCCTAAGAGACATTTTTTTCATTTATGTATTCACTTATTCACTTTACATCGCTGTAGCCCCCTCCCTCCTGTCCTTCCAGTCCCACCCTCACAAACTCTTTCTCCCATTATTCCCCCCCCTCCTCTCCTCTCTGGGTATTTGTTAAGGTTTCTGGAAGACATGGTTTCTCTCTTGTTTAGACACTGTTTCATTATAGAGTTATTGGTTACCATTAAGATATGTGTGCCACTACTGCACTCTTTGGGTTACTGTGTCATACTGGTCATTGCCGGTCATAGATGTTATAGCTGACTAAGACTGTTGGTCACCTCCCTCCTTTGGAAGCTTGAATGACACTTTCTGGCACTATGAAAACTAGTCCTCAGGGAGGGGGCTTTTGGGTTATTTCCAGCTCAGCAGACTCTGACCTCTGTATCTGAAGTGCATGGAATACATACTTTTTAAATTTTTGATAATAGAACACTGTGAGCACAAATTTCCTGATGTAGAAAACAAGGTGCTTTAAGACACCGTAAGATATTATAGTTCATTTTACTACCACAGAAATACATTTACAGGAGAAAATGGAGGAATTGCAACTTTGTTTAAAATATTTAAGTGTGGTAAGGCTGTTCATTGAAATACATTGGAACACTGACTCAATTCTCTAAACAGTACACATGCAGACAGAGATTGTAATGTAGGTCATGATATTACAAATTTTGTGACAGCTATGTTTAGCCTGTTTTGGAACATGATCAAAGAAAGGATTTTAGACTTTGCAAAAGCCCTTCTAATCCCTGAACATGTATTTCCGTTCTGCCTCTACACTGTTGGTTCAGTCCAGTGCTTGGAAGAATAAGAAAACAGTGGGTGGGATGGGTGGGAGAGGCCTAACAGTGGAGGATACCACACTGGGCACAGATATTAATTCCAGCATAAGAATTCAGGAACTTCCAAGAATAGCCAGGACAGCTTCCGTACCTCTAAGATCCTTTCCAAAGTTTAAAGCCCCTTTCATTCTTAATGAAGCAACACAGTACTCTTTCCCTAGTGATTCCCAACACTCTAGTAGACTGTTTCTTAATAAACAACAGAAATAATTAAAGGAAAACTTTCCATAACACTTTGTACTTCTATAGCAAGGTCAGTGCATTATCAAATAACCCAGTATCTTTATTTTATTGGTTCATGAAAATGTTGATAAAATGCTCTGTAATCTAAGAAATTTAGAGCTAAAATACCAGATTAAAAAAATGTAAGATATACTTTCATCACCAAAATGGATAGATGATTCAGTTTTTAATAAAGTTGTCTTATTTACTTTTAATGAGATATGAAATGTCTTCTGGTTTGGTCTTTAAACTTTTAAAACTGACTTTTCTAAGTAAGTTAATTATGAATTTCATTAAAATAACTAAATGATTTACAAAATGAAAATACTTCTTTCTGACATCCTTTGCAATTTCTAGAAAAGCCCGATTTCTGCTTCTTGGAAGAGGATCCTGGAATCTGCCGAGGTTTTATGACTAGGTATTTTTATAACAACCAATCAAAGCAGTGTGAAAAATTCAAGTATGGTGGGTGCCTGGGCAACAGCAACAACTTTGAAACTTTGGATGAATGCAAGAACACGTGTGAGGATCCAGGTACCGTCCCTTCTCATCTCGCTTGGGTACCTATGCAGGTATCGCTTAAAATAAGGATTCCCTGAGAATGTACTCAGATTCCGTTAAAGCCAGACAAACAGAAATTAGGTTTGAAAGAGATTCACCATTGTGTTTAAACAAACAGAAATAAACAAAGAATTAACACATCTATACAGTTACTCTGCATCTCACAAGGTTTTCAGATAAAGGACTTAACTTTCCTCAGAGTACTGCAGAATATGTTCAGCAAAATGGTAGGAGTGGTGAAATCTCTTCTAAAATATGAGGGTTAATAATTACTCATAAAAAGTAAGAAAAAGGAAACTTTATGTATTAGCTGTTGCAGGATTTTGGGCACTAGCTACAAAATTACTAATGGCAATCTTACCTTGCCCAGGTATTGAAAAGTCCTTGTTTGCGCACTTAGAGCAGCAGGGCAGCTCAATGGCTACAACTTCGTTGTTTTTAACACAACAGTTACATTTGCTTGTCTGTGAAGATATGAAGCTCTGTTGTGTTTTCAGATAGTAATTCCTTATGGCTTCTCCCCCTACCCCCAGTGAACGAGTTACAGACGAGTGACTACGTAACTGACCTCAATACTGTAACTGATCGCTCTACTGTAAATAACGTGATTCCTCAGTCTACCAAAGCGCCCAGGCAGTGGGGTAAGAAACTGATTATTATTATTTTATTAATATATTATGATATATTAATAGAAGGTGTGTGTATTAGAATTATCTTTTTTAGGATAGTAATTTTATTATTTGAGAGTATGCTAAATTATAGACATTTGATGGATTTAAGGCATCTAATCTCATAAAAGTATCATTTTTCTTAATGTCTTTTAGAATGTACTTTGCAGTAGGACTTCTGTATATGTAGTATGTAGAAAATGTGTACTTATGTAGTCTTTGTTTTAATTTAGCCTTATTTCTCAGTCTGAATCTGTCAACGTTTTCAGTTAGCTATTTCCTATCCCAGATTTTTAAAAACTATCTTTTAAATATAAGACTTTCTTCCCATTGAAATTATTCATAATCATGTTATCCACATTCATTCCACAGAATATTCTATGTGTTTTTTTTTCCCCAAACTGGTATTCACTGACCCATTCATCTTGTCTATAGATTCACTACTGTACAGAGACCTCCTTCCTCTGCCTTTACTCTGGCTACACAACCAGATTCATTTAATATGGCTATCACTTGCTCTGTTTGCTTTGCTTAAGTGACTATGCTACAAGGTTTTGAGTATGACAATTTATAGCCTGCCTGTGCTCCAGCATTTATCTCAGTGTTAAGCATATGGTAGATGACTTATATTTTTTATTTATTCATTTTGTGATCTGCAATTACAAAAGAAGAAACAAATGGTGGTTGGAGGTATGCTGATTACACTTACCAAGGCTTTCTAAATTCCTTCTGCATTCATGTACTCACATTTTTTTGTCTTTAGGATTGGATAGCATTCTATGTATATTCTGTTATTTGTTGCCTTTTGTCTTATTTAATAATATTTACATAGTACTTGATGCCTTTATACTTATCATTGACTAAGTTTTAATATTAACATTCATAGTTAACATAATCTTTTATTATGTCTAACTGGTAAACTTACAACCAGGAAAGAAAGATCAATCATATTGGTTTAGGGTCTTTGTGGGTAGACCTACCTGATCATTCTTGGAAAAAAGTTAATTATTTTCCAAATTCTCATAGCCCACTTTGCTTCTATATATCATCTCTTAACAGCTGCTTTGGTACTATGTCACCTTTATGATATTTTGAAAAAACTCATCTTTGGTTAGACTTCAAAAACCCACCGCTAACTCAGTCTCCAGCACTTGGTCTTTGAATGAGAAATGGAGCACCTAAGTACTGAGCCAGGGCCATACTACTTCATGCTAGCCTCCAGATCCAGGGAGAATGACTAAGTGTAATAAAGAAGACCCTGTGGCCAAACTCTTTCCTGACTCTACCAAACATATGACCTAGGGCCAAACTCCACATACATAGAAAATGGTGAGAAGGAAGTAAACACATGTAATTATATACATAATCATTGGCCTTCTGGAAGGAGTGATGTTGGCAGAGGAACTATTCAGTAATCAAATGTCATCTCCGATGTGTTCATGTTAGAGATCTGCAATAGAATGCTTTCACCTATACGTTCTCTTGGAAGATATTGATTGCATACAGAGGAATTTTGCAATCATTTAAGTTTTCTGGGAAGACAATATCCCCCACCAACTGTGGAATTACATACTTAAATGCACACCCCAAGAAGTCACGAGTGCTGTGGGCAGTGCTGTAAACTCACTTCATCAACAAGCACACATAGTTTGACACAAGTATGGTGGCCTTCGGATGTATTCTCACTGAGAAGCATGGAATCTGTCTCACAACCTACGTATTCCTGCACAGTCAATCTGGTAGCTTGTGCTGACATTCTGGCAAGGTGGCTTTCCATAAATAGACAGCTTTAGCAGAGCTCATATCAAGCCTTCTAGTTCCTGTCAAGAATGCTGGCAAGAAACAAGAATGTGGCACTTCCTCTGCCAAAATCACAGACAGCACCCAACCTACCTAGTAAAACTCTTCACAGACAATCTTGAGTCTAGTCAAAGACAATTATCCCACATGACAGAGCCTCCAGAGAACTGCTTCTCAGACATCAACATATCCTTTTACAAGAGATGAAATGGACAACTTCACTGTGTCAGCCAATTGTTTTAAATGACATTTGTACTGAATAAAATAATAAAAATTTAAGTTTGTGACAATTATAAGGCTACAACAAACACTGGCTTGCATATTAATACAGACCAAAGTACTAATTAATACTATTAGTTTGTTAAGATTTCTTTTTCTTAAGACAGCAGGAAAAATCCATATTGGAATATGAATTATGTATGGACAACAAAAAGACAGGCTAGGAATAAGAATTAATTTAGGAAAACCTATGCTACTCTAAGTCATAATTCTGAGTGTCACTTTTCTCTTTAAAGATCGCATGATCTCTGCAGAAATGAGGTGAGGATCACTCAGTAAGAACACCCCAACTCTAACCCTCACAGCACCACAGGACTGAGTTCCTACTCTCCAATTGTATGAGTGCCAGGAGTGTGCTCACTGGTGATCCCAGAAACAAAGATCCAGGGTGTGTGATTTCTAGAATGAGGCCAGGTTGAACATGTCAATCAAGTGATTCCTGCCTTCAGATGTTGGCGAGCTATTTGGCTCACCACTGTTGCCCCCAAGACGGGTTTCCAGCCTCCTTATTAAGTTTTCTGTTTCAATTAGGTCTCTTCCTCTTGTTCAGACTTGATGATCCTTGCATGTGACAGTGCATTAAGGTCGTTTTGATTGGAGATTAAGGGAAGAAAGGATTTGGAGATGAGAAGTAAGGAAGTTTCACAAACTTGATCTGATCAAGTTTGCCCAGTTAGTCTAGAAGGATTTCTTACTTAGCTTTGGGGCGATGTCTTATACTGGGCAAGAACATTAGCTTTATGAATGGAGTTTGAGCTTAATTCCAGTTCTTTAATTTCCTTGTTTTGTACCCTGGAAAAAAAGCATGCATTTTCTTTCTCTTAGCTTCCAGTTCTTTCCTGGCAACACATGGAATCTAATATTGTCATAAAGTATTTAAAACACCACAACAGCATGTAATACTTCCTTCTGTGTTACTGTCAACAAGATTATTGATTTTATATTTTTGGTGGTGATGATAGTAACCCTGGCTCACCTTAGGTTTATAGTCATAAAAGTGGCTCAAAGATATTGTTAATGCATATTGTATTATAGTCTTACTACAACTAGTGTTGTAACTTTAAATTGAGGAATCTTAATTCATTATAGTTATCTGAATTAACATGCAGGGCTTGCAAAATTCAAGCATAATTAACTAAATAAACTTTTATCATTTGTGTCTTTGGATTTTATTTATGATTATTGGTGGTATAAAACACTTGCCTCTCCACCTTTAGGACCTGAGGTATAAATTTATGTGCTTTCTAACTTAAGTGAGATTTATCACTTACTAGGACCTGTAATAGAATAGTTGTAATAGAACCTGGAATGGAAGAATGAAAATAGGAGGATTTTTTTTTCCAGATGTGATTGCCAGATAGGAGAAGGATTTAGGTAAATAAATGGCTTCAGTAATGCGACCTTACAGATGGTGTGGCAGGACAGAGTCAGAGTAAACTAAGTTGAAATTTCAAATGTGAGTACCAGTGTCCTAGGTCACAGGGTAAAAGTCGTTGCTGCCAAGTCTTCTCTGGGGAAGGCCACCCTTCCCACTGCCAGCTTTCCTCAGTTGCTCATGATGTTTTTGTGTATATTCTAAATCTGTTTTTCCAGATTTACAGTCTACATTCTCTTTGTTGTATTCTATTCATTAGCTAGTCTAGACTGTCTAAAATATCCCCTCAGGTAAACTGGAAATATTCTGTTTCCACAGTCTGCTGTTTCTCTGATTGTTAGAACCCCATTCTTTGATTAATGCTGACCAACATATTAAATAAATATTGCATTTTCATCTTGCTTAAATCTAATATTATTTTTATTTCACACACAATGAGTTGCTTCAAGTGTATTCAAACCCAAAACTATCCTGAAAAAATTATATCGATAGTCTAAAAAGATTTACAACTGGTCTTGATGCAGAAGACAGGGAATGATCTGCTTCCCAGATGACAGAAGGTCTAGGGTGCACACATCAGCAGTCACAAGCTGTAGCCTTTCCTAGACAGGGTTCTCAGTAGAATGTTTTTACACTTATTTATTTTGTTGTATGTTGTATGGGAGTTTTGCATGCATGTATGTCTGTGCATCTCTGTGTGCATTGCATGAGGCAGCCGACAGTGATTCCTGGCCTAGAAGTGCTGATGGATGGCCATGTGGGCCTCCTGCAAGAGCAGCAGGTATCCTTACCATCTCTGAGCCACCTCTTCAGCCGTCTGCACAATATTTTAAGATGAAAATGCTAACACTCGTGTGATGGTACTGATTGTAAGTATATTGTCCCAGACATAGATTTTCTTTCTTTCTTTTTTTCTCGATGCAAATAGCAAGAGGAATTTTAATGATCCAATGCATTGGGGTCATCCTGCACCTGAAGGAGAGGCAGCGACCCCATGCAGCCCATTTGGTCAGTTTTTATACAGTTTAAGGGGTATACTAGAGAAACAGTGACTAGGCACAATATGATTGGCAGAATGGTATGACTTTTAAACTGATTGGTCTTTAGGGAATGAGGTGGCAAGGACCTTCCTTGTCTGTAGGTAGGACTTCCCCACCTGCAGGTGGGTTCCCTCCCCTGAAACATAGGTTTTCTAATAAGACATTTCATTAAAAAAACTATGCTCATGAAAACTTCATAATTGTCTACAACCATTTTTGTTAAAAAAAATTCTTAAGTACAGCTACCTTAGTGAGCTCTGGGTATGGATTAGTCAGCATCTGGACAGAAGCAAACAAATAGCTACTTGGGTTCTTTCTTTCCTCATTAATCTATGTAGGCTTTCCTGTCCAGGAAAGATTTCTTACAGTTCTATGAGCTTTCAACTCTCAAATTCCCTGGCTGTACAACCTCCACACTTCACCCTCTGCTGAGTGGCCCAGTACACACAGGGAAGAAAAAATAATCCTCAACGTAATTGTCCAGCAGTCCTTGCTCCTTTTCAATGTTGAATAGAGTATCGGTTTCTGCTAACTCAGTGAGTGCTCTTCTTCGTTCACACAGTCAGCGAGAGGGTGTGTGTTCTCTGGAAAGCAGGGGACAGTGACCTTACTGTCCATTACCAACCACGGCAGGTTTCAGCCTGTTCTGTTTTTTTCTTATACCACTTTAAGGAACTGGACTTATTAGTAATTAATAATCTAGTCAATTATTCTTATTGTGTAACAAGCATTAGAATTTAGGAACATTAAACACACAGAAAAAAGGAAACAGTCGTAATAATTGACCATAATCACATCATACAGCAAAAAAATCCCCAGCAAATTGTCAATGAATTTTATTTTACTTAAAAAAATTATCATATAGCAAATGATTAATAGATTGTAAGTTTCTGCTGAAGAAGTCCAAAAGCATATAATATGTTCAACATAAACATTTATTTTGTAGAACTTTAGCCTAGCAAATTTCTCAACTTACAACCTGGTAAAACTATATTTACAGAAATAATTTATAACATTGTCTCTCAGTACTTTGGCCAATGAATAACATATATTATTTTCATTTTTATGTATGTGGTTCCGTATGTATGCATGTATGGTATCTTGACATGTAATACAAATTAATATATTTTTCTAATTTTAAGTTATATATTTTCAACATTTAATATGATTGTAATCGTGATGAAGCCTATCACTGATAGTATACAATAATATAATCAGTTTTTCCTTATTAGTGGTACACAAAATAGTTCATCTTAAAATCAAAGGCATTAGTGATGTTTAGTAGAACAGATGAAATACGCATATATTTAAAAGGATGTATAATTGTGTAAGATGTAAATATATATTCATAAGCTATTAAGGATAGTAATAATTTGTAGAGTAGTATATAGAGAGTAGTTTGTACATGCAAAAGACATTTACCAAATCATTGATAGGAATTTAACTGGGGGAGGGGAATTATGCAGAAGTTTTGTTTCATATTTTTTTCTGTTTTGGTATTATTTAAATTTTTATAAAATTTGTAATAAAATTATGTTTCTCTTTAATACAACTTAGGATAAAAAAGGAAAGACTTGTTATTCAATTCCCCCCAAAAAGCTCAGAAGAAAACAAGTTCACAGGTCATGCAGTGGTTCATAAACACTAATTTGCTTGTTACAATAAAAATGTACACAGGAAAGTATTGTGGGGATAAGGTATTGCAATAAAGTTTTAGTTCATTAAATATAAAGTTTACTATATGAATTACAAAGTAAATCTATATAAAATGTTTTACTTGAAAAATGGACCCTGGGCCACCACCATGTAATTCAGCAGTCACCCTAGACAGTAATGTTTTCTAGCAAAAAAAGGAGGTGGTTTGGCGTGAAACATAACAAAAAAAGCCTTCTAGATGGAATCCACTCGACTTGGTTTTGGTGGTTGGATCAAGATAGAATACATTTGGCTATTAAAGTCCCTTTGGAACATGAGCAGATACCAGCCAGGTTAGTGTCTTTTTATTCTATCTTAAATTTCTGTCACTAATCAGAATGTAGACCAGAAAATGCAACTACTTCAAAACATATTTTCTTTTATTGTAGATATCAATATCTGGAATTTAAATAGGTGAGTGTCTACCCATAGCTAGAACAAATTTGTTAATTTATCTTATCTTTTCATGGGGTACAAAAACATTCCATTTTTTTCACCTCTTGAAATTTAACTGGAGTCAAGGACTCCAAACATCCCGCAGAAACAGTCTGTTTTTTTTAAAAACCTATGATGTATGATAAAGTAATTAAATGGTAGTCAGAACTAAAATAATCTTAAAAGCAATGAATTCATTTTAATTTAATCTACAGTTTCTGTTCTAGGAAAATAAATTCCTAATAGAAAGACTCTCAAAGCGAAAATCATTTTGTGTCTTTTAATACTTAACTTTGTCTAGTACAAAATAATTATTGGTAAACTTCAAATTGCAGTCTACTTTGAAAATGCATTCTTTCCAACGTTAGGAACATGATCATGGATGGGGTCAAAGGTCTGCTGTATTGGATCTGTGTAGACAGGGAGTGGTATCAGGACTAACAATGAGATAAGCAAACAGCGGCCACGGGTCAATTCTTAGGAAGATGCCTCTGGGTGGAGCCAGTGTGTGATAACAAAAGGGATGGGGTGTGCATGAGCACACTGACCTCAGCCCCCAGAACTATGTTAGACCCCTTATGCAGAGCTCACAGCACAGAGGCTGCAGGAATGTGATGTCTTGGATGGTTAAGTTGGTAATGAAGCTTTTCCTGATGCACTGTGCTCCAAGTGCTTGCTTTCACACGACCCCTGACTTCCGCTGTCCTGCGTTGCATTAAACCCACTTCCACTGGTCTCTTACTTCATCAGCCATTAGTAAACATTTCTGGATTATTAGGTGGTTAGAGAAAGAGAGAAGCTAGAGCCTGTGTGCCCATTATAACTGTAGAATACCCACCATAATTTGTATTCCCCTAGAAATGACTGTTCTGGTTCTAGTTTTCACCTAGGATGTAAGCTTTTGGTTTCAGGTAACACTTTGTCTTCTTATCCCCAGTGTAGGGGCAATAGTCAAGTGAGCTTTTTTCCACTTTGAAGCATGCTTGATTTTGATTATGAAGCTTAATTTGCATCAAGTCATATGTTAAGTGGGGAAGAGGTTGTACTCAGGGAATGAATTTTTTTTTCTGTCCTGACATAAGGGACCTTAGCATGGGTATTACTATTAAAACATTGTAATTAACGTTATAGATCTTGCTATATTAACATATGCTATCTGAAACTTACTGACTCATCTTGTATAGAAAACACTAAAGTCAAAGTAATGTATACATCACATATAATTCTACATAGAATTTGTTATGCAATATATGTGGTGTTTGCTGGGAAAAACATAAAACAAACAATATATTTCTCTGTTTATCAGTTTTATTCACTTGCTTCTAGTTGGCCACATTTGTCTCTGAACCTGGGTGGTGGCTTTGGAGGTTCAGGACACAAAGGTGGTGCAGGTGTTCACTACTTACATTTAAACTGGAGAATGGTGAGCAAACACGGATGCTCACTGGGGCTATTTGGACAATAGGATCACCTGACTGCAACATTTCTCTCTTTAGAATTACTTCCTCAGACTATTTGTGAAAGAAAACACTAGCATGTGGTGGAAACTTTAGAACCTATTCCCATCACATGCTCTTAACCTGGGTTTCTGATGGAGCACATTCATGTTTAAAGGTGCACAGGAGCAGAATGTAGGATGAGTAGATTAGACACTATGTGGACATTGCTTTAAAGATCTTAAGGTTTCCTTTCAGACGCGCTGTCTATGTATTTAGCCAATGACCTAAATGATGCTAAACATTCTCCATCTGATGATAACTCTTACATTTTGCACGCATTGCCTTTATACATCTTTTCTTACACATGATTCCATCATCCCCAGTCCTCCCTAATCTTCCAGGTTTTTACTCAGAATGTCAGTTGCTGTAGACAGACATTCTGGCTTCTTCCTGTCTGTCTAGAAGGCAGAAGATGATAAAAATGTGTTTACCAGACTAAGACTTTTCTTATGTGCTGTTTTATTTTACTTCTTTTCTTTCACAGTAGTTTTTCATTTAAGGTTTATGTGCTAAAAGATTGCTGCTTGCTTTCTGCACAGCCTGCTTGCCTTTGTTGGCCATTGGATTCTTCAAAGTCTTATTTCCTGCTCATGAACATGTATCAGTCTTTCCCTGCATGTGCTGTATGATATCACAGCATATGCCAAGGCCACTAAAGTTTTCCTCCGTAGTTCAACACCATCCAACACCTTGCGTTCAGCTTACAATCATCAAGCATAGCTGGACAGCTGA